TTTGCATGCTACAGTACTGAGTACATGACAGCAACAGTTTTTAAAAGAATTACTCCACTTTCAGAATAAAAATTTCCTGATAATTTACTCACCCCCATGTCATCCAAGATCGCAAAGAATTTAAGGTTTTTGAGGAAAACATTCCAGTATTTTTCTTCATTAAGTGGACTTCAGTGGTGCAAAACAGATTGAAGGTTAAAAATGCTACATGATCCCAGCCGAGGAATAAGGGTCTTATCTAGCAAAATGATCGGTCATTTTCTTAAAAAAAATAATATTTATATACTTTTTAACCACAAATGCTCATCTTGTCTAGCTCAGCGAGGTGCTTGCGTACTCTGTCTGTGTACGACGGTTCAAGAGAGGGTATGTTTAAAAACTCCCAACATTTTCTCCTCCATACACGGTGCATTTTTAGATTTAAAACTTGTTTAAAACTTGTGAATGTTTTTATTCACTTAGAGCTGTGTTACACACTTCATGAAAGGTAATTTTCAAAAATCCATAATAGGGGCACTTTAAGGCTTGAATGGATTTTAGGTAAATTAGCAATCCCAACCAGACTCACTCTTGTCAAAGCCTGTCCATATACATATAATCAACTCACAGTGCTCCTCAGCAGATAATAATGACTTTTTTATCAGGCTGAACACCGTGGCAGTGCTGGAATTAAACACGCTTAGCTTTCAAACGGCTAGCAATAACATGTTTGAGGTTAATCAAGCTGTGAAGAGCTTATGGCAGCAGGCTTCAAATATAATGCAGATCACTCTGATGGATTGTTGTCTACTATATTGTTTGTGTCTTGAAGTGTATAACACAATAAAAACACATGTATAAATGTGTTTGAAGAATCTACATCTAGATGGTGCTGCTTGGACACATCCTTCGTGATGAATCCAGGTTCATAGGGTGTTTCGGGTCTTTGGTTATCAGACTCCCTCACCTAGGCGACCCAACCATCAGTCCCTGGTTTGTGTGCAAGCAGCGCACTACACCACAGGTCTCCCCTTTTGATCCACAGCCTGGTTCAGACTTCCAAAGCTCTCTCTAAGTGGTCTTCCAGGCTGATGCAATCTCCCAATTAGTCCAAGCTCCTTGTTTGCGCATAGCCACTGACCTGCTACGGCACTCCTCCTCCACCTCCGCATGGATCTCTCCCTGGATCAGCTGACATCTCTCTTTACTCTGAGCCTTGTCGTAGTGAGGTGTTGGGTAGCTACCAAGTCCCGCTGTTTCGACTACGACAGAGCCTACCAAAATATTATGCCTCAGCATTGCTTCTGCCCTTTCGACAGCCTCCCGTGCCCTCCACTTCCTTCCCGTTCTGACTGTGATGCCTACAGTGGAGACTCTGCGATCAGAGGAATATCTATACAGAAGCACCATCCTGGTTCTTGTGACATTAAACTCCTCAGTCAGGCTGGTGAAGAGAAGTTGCGGCTTATTGGTATGCCCATAATGAGCAATGCTACTCAGGCTTTTTTCCTGCTGTGTCTTTCAGGGTGATGTCGAAAAATCTTCCCCAGGCTCTTTACAGGCTTCACAGACACTGATGGGATTAAGGCTCCTGCCAGGCGGAAGAGGTACTTGTCCTCCACTTTTCCCTTCCTCAGGACCTGGATTTGGCTTTTTTGAAGACCATCCTCGCCCATGTAAAGAGTCTCTCTAGTCCTTGTAGAAGCCAGTGACATCCTGCCACTGATGTTGATGTGACAGTCAGACTGTCTATACAAGCTTGAATGGGAGGTTGGCGAATGCCGGATCTGGATAGGGGGCCCCTGCATTCCACTTCAACTGCCTTGATAATCATGTTCATTGCCAGGGCGAACAACGTCACTGATATAATGCACCCAGTAATGATGCAATTCTCTAGGCGATGCCATACTGAAGTTGTTGTCCCAGAGGTAAATCTCAAGCTGAAGTTGCTGTAATAGTCTCGTATGAGCACTTGGTTCTTCTCTGGGATGTAATAAATGGCCAGAGCTGTTGTTACAACTGTATGTGGAACATTAGCCAGATCAAGCCAAATGACTGACAGATCTTCTCGGTTTTCCCTTGCCTCACGGATTAACTGGGTGACACAGCCTGACATCCCTTTAACTCCTCCCTTCTGCACCGTGGTGTCAATATAGAAATTCCTTAGGAGGTCTTCCATCAGTCAGTTAGCAAGTATCTTGAAAAAGACCTTTCCTTCCACACTTAACAGAGAGATGGTACAGAACTGTGTGATGTCATTCGCATTCTCCTCCTTTGTTATCCAGACACCTTCTGCATGTCACCACTGTTTGGCTACTATTCTGAGAAATTTCCACAACCTCTCCAGGAGTCTTGGGCAATGTTTGTAGACTTTGTATGGCACTCCACTCAGCCCCGGGGCTGCACTGGCTCACGCAGTTCTAATTGTGCTCCTGACTTCTGCTCCTGAGATCTTTCTCCTGCCTTTTGTCGCTGTAAGTTTTGCTGAGGTGTTGGTTAATTTCTTCTACTAGACAAATCAGGGTTCCAATGCTCTTCTGCCCTAGCAGCCATTTCGTGAATCCAAAGGGATTCACTATGAAGGCAGTTTGTTTGCCAGCCCTTTCTCTGCCCCTTCTTCTGTGCCACTCAGCACACCGGAGAGAGATGAGCTTCTGCCTTGTGATGGTTCTGGAGCTCCATCAGGGCCGGTCCTCCCTCGCTTTTCTGGACTGGTATTTTAGGGACTTCAGGTCTTTCCTGAAGCTGATTGATCTTGATCTCACGCCGATTCAGTCATTGGTGTGGTCCTGACTTTTTGATGTTTAGTGCCAAATTGCTCAGTGCCGATGGTAATGATCAAAGTCCACATCAACTGGAGTCGCTGATTCACCTTCCCCTTTGATGAAACTTCGAGGGCAATGTCTACAACCTCATCAAACTGGCGCCACTCAGCCCCCTTGTTTGCAGTAGGCCATAAGACCCGGCGAAGTTCTGGTGGTTTGCTAGGTACACTCTTAAAAATAAAGGTGCTTCAAAAGGTTCTTCAAGCGATGCCATAGAAGAACCATTTTTGGTTCCACAAAGAACAATTCAGTCAAAGGTTCTTTAAAGAACCATTTCTTTCTTACCTTTTTATAATCTGAAGAACCTTTTTTCGCCACAAAGAACCTTTTGTGAAACAGAAAGGTTCTTCAGATGTTAAAGGTTCTTTATGGAACCATTTAGACAAAAAGGTTCTTCTATAGCATCGTGAAGCACCTTTATTTTTAAGAGTGTACAGCAGGTGGAGTTTGGAGGTTCTGGACACTTTGGGTTGACTCTGGGTCGTGCTCCTTCTCCGTCTCACCAGGTACAGTGCTAGGCACTGATTCTGTGCATTGTTTAACTTGCCTTTTCCTTGTGCACCCCATCTTGGTCTGGTGGATCTTCAGACCCTTTAGATTCTTGCAGACCATGCCGCAAAAACAGGTTGCTTTTGTCATCAATGATCCATTGCTTGAATCGTAAGCCAGAAAATTCATCAGACTGGGGGTATCTTACATTGGGAATATACGTACGTAGGACTATGTGTGAGTCTTCACTGTGTATGTGCTTGTCTTTGTTGCAACCTCTTTTATACCTCATACTAGCAGACAGGCAAAGTGGATTCTGTGGCATGAGTTCTCTTTTCTGTCCATCTTAGCGTCATCTTCCATACGTCTCACTCTGTCCTACTGTCTCTCTCACTGGCACTTCCTCTCCATGATTCTCTATTACGCATACTGAATTTGTTTCTCTCTCTCTCTTCCTGCTGCCTCTCCGTGTTTCATTTACTATTCATCTCTCCATCATCGGTCTCGGCTCTCCCATTCTCAGATACTTGTTATTCAGAGCAGTTTATGTTTTCTGGCTTGGCAGGGCAAGAAAAAAACAAGCATGAAAGATGGCTAAGAATGCTGAAACTATGCCATGCCACCTACTGTAAAGGACATGCAGGAGAGGTTTAGGCAGGGTACAACATGATTTTGTATCAGATTGGCAACATCACGGTTTGTGCTACCTGATGACTATGAGCTAATATTTGGTGCTCCTGTTAGGATTAAGCCTACACTGACTCTGCTTCTGAAGAAATACAGTTCAAATAGATGTCATTCATAAAATTGTGTGTATCCCACACACCTTGTACTTTCATCTATCAGATTTTGGCTAATTTGATAAAGTTTTCAGCTCTGTGTTTTACACATTTTATCATGTTTAAAACCATTATTTGAATGGATTTAAGCTTTTTCCCAGCAGTCAGCTGAAAATATTAATATGTTTTCAAGCCTTGTGAGGTGGACCAATTAAACTTAAGTCAAAATACTGCTATATTGACCATTCTGGTACAGTTCCACAAAAGTAGGTGACCCAGTGAATTAAACTGAAATCAGCAACAGTAATATACATTTTTATGAAGCAAATTCATAAAATGAAAAAATTATTTTTCTCATTATTTTAGGCTTGCTAGTTCCAAAGTTCTAATTGGAAAAAATTTGTATATTTGCATTATGTAGTTAATTACTTAATTATCTATTTATTTAATTGGGATTTTTTTTTTATTATTTAATCCCATTTTAAACACTGGTGTCTTTAACATTTAGCTGTTATAAATAAATAAATAAAAAAGCTATTAGCCATGAGAGACTGTTACCATGACTTTACCACAGATTTTAAGCTGTAGGAATACTCTTTAATTATAGTTAAATCACTGTAACTCACTCTGTTTGAACAATTTTATTTTTATGATTTAATTTACTTAACTTTCAATCTTCATTTGACATTTATTTTTCATAAGATACTGTGCAGTAATTTCTAGCTGACTGTGCTTGTGGTCTTAAATGTCTCATGCTGAGAGAGCTTGGGTTATAAGGCCCTATAAAGCAACTCTATAACTCTGTTTTCTTCCCCACAGAAAGACACACAACCAGATCCTTTGATGCTCTCAGAAACTGTGGCCTCACCACATAAATGGAATCGTTTGTTAGTCTCTCTTCCCCTGACCCATAATTTCTCTGTCACAGATGTTCCTTCAAACCCTTACTCTGTTCGGCTGGGCTCTGTGGTACAGCGCGTGGCCACAGTTACCTTCACGAAGCCAGACTCCCATGGCGGTGTACCCATCAGTCACTACCTGGTCAAATACAAAGACATCAGCTCACAAGACTGGAAGAATGTGAAATCACAAGGGACACAGAGTAAGTACAAAGGTTGTCCACCACCATTTTTGATCAATGTCTGTGTTAAACCACCAAACAAATCATAGAAGAATAAATAGTTTCCACTTACAGCTGATTAGCTCTCTCTTTTTTGAAAGAGAGAAGTAAATACTTGCATTCTGCAAGGATGCAATAAATTGATCAAAACTGACAATACAAAATATTTATATTTCAAATAAATGCTGTTCTTTTGAACTTTCTATTCATAAAAGAATCCCTTCATGGTTGCCACAAAAATATTAAACAACAATTGTTTTCAACATTGACGGTAATAAGAAATGTTTCTTGAGCACCAAATGATTTCTGAAGTATCATGTGACATTGAAGACAGGAGTAATGGCTGCTGAAAATTCAGCTTCACCATCTCAGAATAAATTACATTTTAAAATGTATTCAAATAGACAACCGTTATTTTAAATTGTAATAATATTACACAATTTTACTGTTTTTACTGTATTTAAAAAGGACGCCTTGGTGAGCATAAGAAACTCAAAAACATTTAAAAAAAATATTACCAACTGCAAACTTTTGAATGGTAGTCTTTGAGGAGTAAATAAATCAGTCGCTCAAAATCAGTGTTGCTCACATTTTCAACACAATTGATTGCTGATTATTTAATGTCTATTTAACATGTATAGTTTTCATTTCTTATTTTCATAAACAATTTTAAGAAATATTTCACCCAAAAATTAAATATATTATTTGCTTTCATCCTTAGTTCACAAAAATGTATTTTTTAAGTATCATTTCTACTGTCTTCCATATAATGAAAGTGAAAGGGCATTTGGGCTATCAAACTATATATATATATATATATATATATATATATATATATATACACACATTCAGTAAATACATACAATTTAAAATAATGCATTTAAAACACATTAGAATAAATAAAACAATTTTCCAGCTACTACAAAAATGTTATTTTATTATTTTTTTTTTTTTGGTGTTTGAACGTGTTGAAAGTTCTCTGCCTTGAGGAACTGACTGACCTCAGACCTTCTGTGAGAGTGTCTATTTATTCCTCTGCAATCCAGTGTTTTCTTACACACCAAAGCCAAAAGAAGTGGAATCTGCAAACACTGCCTCTATTTGATGTAACACCTGTATGTGAAAAACACATGTAACTGAACCACCTCTGAATTGACCCTGAAAATATATATATATATATATATATAGTCCATACAACTTGTGTGCTGCATTCTAAGTGTTATGCAGTCACATGGATATCAGTGTGTGAAAGTTTCTCCTCAACTGTATATCTCAAATCAAATATGGTGCCTTTGACTGCAGTGCCATTTGTAGTTCATTTCAGATCTTATGCAGGAACAAAGCACACAAAAAGACTTTCATTATATTTCTATGCTGATTTATATCAGCTTGACTTCAGGCTGAATCCTTCAGCCATCATTCTCACTATATTCACACACACACACAAACCACATTACTAAGAATTGCCCAAACTTTCGGTCCATACTTGTAGTTTGGCTTCAAAGGCCAAACTACAAGAGTGAGAAGAGCTGTGGGAGATACAACTCCAGTCCAACCTGAACTTACAGTGCTTAAATTGATTTTTCTTTACCCACAACACCAAAATGGGCATGCAGGAACTTTGAGAACACATTAGATGATCAAATAAGCAAATTAGGCTACTTCAAGGACTCTGAGCTAATATACATAATTCTGAAAAGGCCTGTTTTCCAAGGGCAGGATTGGAGAAAGCAGTCTTTTGAAACCATGTACATGGATTAGGAGACCAGTTGGGACTTAGTATGTTTGTTAGAATCATTTCCATCTTCTTCTCTCTTTCTCTCCCACAGCAATAGTGTTGCTCACTAACCTTGAGCCCAACACTACCTATGAGGTGAGAGTAGCTGCGGTGAACGGAAAAGGTCAAGGGGAGTTCAGCCGCACCGAGAGCTTTCAAACTCTGCCCATACGTGAGTGCCCTCTGCTTTGACACTTAAATGCTGAAGATTTGGACAAACAACCTTCAGTCGTTACGTTATTGCAGTAGTATGTTGCTGCTAACCATTGAGTTCAATTATAACCAGTTATGTATATGAATGTGGACCATTCACACATTATTGTGTCTTTTTTTCGATATTCAGGAGAGCCGAGTCCCCCTTCAGTTCAGGGTCAGCGAGGGGTGGGGAAGGCATACCGACTGGGGCTGGTCAAGCAGGATGATGGAGGAATGCCCATCCTGGAATATATTGTCAAATACAAAACAGTAAGTGAGCTGCTCTTAAAGCCTCTATTAATCAGTGCAGTCTCACAAGGGAAACCTTGCTGTAGTGCTGTATAAATGTTTATGCACATAAACGCCTCTCTTCTGATGTTGTTTTTACCTTGTTTTAGAGGATTCATCAAACCTTGATAACATTTACATACACTACCATTCAAAAGGCTGAGTAAGAGAAGAAATTAATAAGAAATGAATACTTTTATTCAGCACTGAATTTCGTATGGTCAGAATTACAGTTTTATGCCAATAATCTAATTGTAATGAGGATTCAGTGACGTTGGGATCCATGTGCAGCTTTATTAACAATCAGACAGGCAAAGTTCAATCAACAGTATACAGAGGTAACGTAGGCAAGGCAGAATCATAACCTGAGTCCATGCAAAGGGTCGAGGCAGGCGGCAGACAGAGAAGAGAGTAAATCCAGTAACAGTGCAAGGTCAAAGAGGCAGGCAGCGAACGATCAGACGGGTCTAGACAATTCAGGTAGACAACAGGTAATCAAACAAGGTATAAACGCTCAGAAATGTCAGCAATAGCAAAAACAAAACTTCGCAATGAGGGTAAGGTAGGCACTGCTTAAATAGTCATGATAATGATAAGCACCTGTGCAGGTAATCAGTCTCAGGCATGGGATGATGGGAAATGAAGTCCTTAAGAACAGTTACGGTTCTTAACGGTTCCCTCTGGTGGTGATCGGAGGGAGCCGCAGAGGCTTAATGTGACAGAAATAGATATTAGTCCTTTTAAAAAATGGTATTTAAGTGTTAAGAATGCTAGCTTTTGTGATCATATCATCCTCCACCTTCAAATCAGGTGATGCTGGTGAAATTCTGAACAAAAACAAGTTATTGTTTACCTTTAATTAAAATGAGAAGGAATATTTATTAATTAAACAGCACTCTATGCTTAATGTAATTTGTAATTGAATTTTTTGGTAACACTTTAGTATATGGACCAATTCTCACTATCAGCTAGTTGCTTATTAGCATGCCTATTATTAACATATTGGTTGTTTATTAGTACTTATAAAGCATTCTACATTACCATATTCTATATCCCCAATCCTACCCAAACTTAACAACTACCTTACTAACTATTAATAAGCAGCATATTAGGAGTTTGAGGCAAAAGTCATAGTTAATGGTTTGTTAATAGCGAGAATAGAACCTTAAAATAAAGTGACCAATTTTTTAAAGGCAAATGCCACCGCAGTTGGAAAATGAACCAGCTGTCAAATTGATCCCAACATAATCAAGGCATTACAGTATGCTCTAATACTAAACGTACCCAGTGTGACTTTTTTGTGGTGCATGGATTAACTAAATTTGTTGTGACAATGTGATTACTGAACAATTATCCCTTTACAACCACATTGATTTATTCATTTAGCTTATGTCATCTATGGGCTATCCACACTTTTTTATCATGACTTTGACTTGTTGGGGCATTGTTTGGCTGTTTAGCAGAACGGCATTTTACAAATTGTAATGTATTTGGTCTTTAACTAGCTGGAGAAAAGCAGCACTAAACGGGATCATGTGTTTTTTTGTTTGTAAGTGTAAAGTGTGAGACTTTGCTGGAATGCAGAGGATGTTATTCCAGTAAACACTTAGAGACAAGTGGGCGATGGTTTCAGTAATGAGCAATAAAAACACATCTTTTTGTTTGAGCCCATGCCCTTTGTTTAAGCATGAGTACGCACAGCAGTATGGATAAAAACATGCTTCAGTAATTATTGCACAAATGTATTCTGCTGTTTTGGGGGCTTTTGATTGGCTGAACTGTTGTGCATCAAGTATGATGGCATTGAAGTGTTCTATGGAAGTGGTGTGTGGAAAAGAGAGAGGTATGTTTATGTGGGGAAATCAAGTTTTTCATACATCTGACAAACCTCCCTCTTGGGACAATCAGTGATATCCTAAATTGTGAAATAAAGCAAATAATGGCTCTCATTTACTAATAATTGTGTGGATTATTTCATATTTGAACACACAGAAGAACTCATAAAAAATGTCCACCTAATTCACAGCATGTGCGTACGCACATTAATTTGTTCTTAACCTCGTTCTGATGTTAATGAATTTGGATTATTAAATTAAATAAACAACCGCATGTCACATTTTAGTCATTTGCATAAAACATGTCCAAATCATCTCCATTTAAAGGCTTTCTGCACAACTTTTCCTTTACAGCCTTTCATCACTCTCAAACATATAATGATCTCAGTAACACTTTACAATAAGGTTCCATTAGTTCATGTTTGTTAATGTATTAACTAATGTAACGAATCAGCTCATGGGAAATATGAATAATTAACCATAATTAGTTATAATTAATTATGAATATTTTAGATCCGCTGTAGATATTTAGCTGACCTCTCAGGGTCAACTGTCTTGTCAATTCTAAGAACGTTAATTTCCTGGTTAAGGGAAATAACTTTCTTACTGTACAATTCTACAAAAGCTTGTAGCATAAATCTGCATGATTAAGTGACTCCAGTTATAAGCAAACAATGAACCACGTCAAGTGTGATACAAGTAAGGTTTTATTAACTACATAAACACATAAACTGGTCTAACATACACATACACACACACACACACACATGTATTTGTTAAATATAGCTAACAAAATATATATTGTGTGTTTGATTGGTCCAGACGCTACACTAACATGACCAAACAATAAACAAAACATTTATTACAGTATTTATTAATCTTTGTTAATGTTAGTTCATGAAAATAGTCATTCATTGTTAGCTCGTATTAATTCACAATAACTAATGTTAACAAGCACAACTTTTGATTTTAATAATGCATTAGTAAATGTTGAAAACATTAACGTTAACTAAGATTAATAAATGCTGTAGAAGTATAATTCATTCTTAGTTCATGTTAACTAATGAAGCTTATTGTAAAGTGTTAACATGATCTCTAAAGACACTGTACTCTTGTCTTTGATGCGCTGCCAAGTGTGTCAGTCTCAAAACCAGTTCAAACACGAATACTTTTAATATAGGCCCAGATTACATTAGCCAGCTGTACATATGCATATATGATTCACTGCATATGATGAAATATGTTTAAGATGAAATATAAATTTAATCTTAACTATATAAAAAATTATTATATCATGTTAATATGAAATATTGATTTTATCTTAACTCTCAATTATATATAATATCTAAAATTCTAATCATGTTAAGAATAAATATAATTTTTATCTTAATACAATTGTGGGTTTCGTGTATGTGTGCTTTCAGTTGTTCCTAAAAAAATTTTATACATTTTAGTACACAAGTTTTTGGTGATTTTTCACATGCAAATTTGTGTATAGTGAATGAGACCCATTATCATTTTTATTCTAAATATGCAAAACAAATGCAGTCTGTTTCCTTTCACTTCTTAAAGGGTAAATAAGAAAAAGGGTCTCACTCATTAATCTTTTTTTTTTTTATTATGCTGATTTTAAAATATTTATGTTTTGTTTTTGTTCATTATTATTGTGTTTATTATTTTACATTTAATACCTACAGTTACTCTTACGTAATTCAGAAAAATAAAAATGTCCATTGATGTGCATTGTACCTCAATCTCGGTTAAGTTCTACAAGCTATAATGTGCAAACGGCTGTACAGGAAATGTTGTGTTAGGATGAGGGTAAAAACCAATTATACTTAATGTTTGTATCCAAAAATGTATGACAAACATCTGTGTGCACTTAAGAACATTTTTATTATTACTCTGGTAATATTATTGTCTGGCTGGGTGGTCACATAGTGCCTAGTTGCGTTTTTTGTTCCTTGTGCATCATCGCCACTGTTTCACAATGAAAAAGTTTGTTTACAGGTCATGAGGTTATCCAGTGTTGCCCACTAGCATGTTTACACGTTCACCACAGCTTTCTCTCTCTCTCTCTCTCACACAATCCTTCTGTTTGTTTTTCCCCTTATGGGCCTCAGCGTTTCCTCATTTGCTTCATCTCTGTCTGTCTCACTGTGTTTGGTGATGCCTTGCTTCCTCCTCAACCTTAATAGGGTCCGCTGGCATCTTTTCCTTCTCTTTTATTTGTACTCTTCCCTTTTTGTATTTTTTTTATCTTTCTCTCATTTGCTCGGTCTCTGATCGCCTGTGCATGTGGAGGTGAGAACAGGGGAAATGGAGATGTCACAGCCTGGGGAGACAGCTCGCCTAAGGACTGTCAACATGTGAAAGCTACATTCAACCATTTAGCCTTTAAAGAGATGAGGCGTTTTGAAAATGTCAAAATATGAAAGCAATGAGTTTTTGAAGGCAGCTTGTGTGGGCTTAGTTTCAATTTTTTAGCCGGCAGAACAGCCGGTACACACACACGTTATATTATATTACGCACATACTCGTGCTTAGATGCTTTGCAGGCAGGGACACAAAGAGAATAATGGATGCATTGGAGTGTTTCTGCTGTTTAAGTGTGTGGAAAAGTTTGAGGATTAGAGAAAATCTCTTTTCTTTTCTTTTTTTTGCCTGTTACTCTAAGGACAAAGGAGGAGATGGCCTTTCAGGCCACTTTCATCTGCAAATCTTGCATCCATCCTGCTCTTTTCACAACCAAAACAGAATCAATACTTGCTTTTTTCTCAACCAAAACAGAATAGAATGTAGCCACTATTCAAACACCTGTACGTTCACAATCAATAGCAAGTTGTCTGATATGTTCCCTAAAGCAAATGATATTCATATGCTTGTGCAAATTTTATAAAACACTTGTGGTTTTGTGCAGGATAAAGAAGAGCAGTGGATGACAAAACTGGTTCCAGGTGTGAATGATTTCGTGCTGCTGCAACCGCTCCAGTGGAATACGCAGTATGAGGTGGAAATCACCGCACGCAACGTCAAAGGCCTGTCTGAACCCACCTTTGTGAAGTTCTCCATGCCTCAGAAACCTGACATCACAGGTACACGCATGTCCACAAAACACGCAAAGTACTCTGTCTCTTTTCCATATGACAAATTGAGTCTGATTGCCTACAGTGCTTCGTCACCCACTCACAATATCTATAGCTGAAATTTTATGTCTCCTATTATAATTTCATGCCCTACTACAGTTCAGCACACTTGCCAGCCACCCACACTTGATAGAGCTCGTGTTTCCCAAATTCATAATCAAATGTGCAGGGTAACCCACTGTAACTGTTTCTCTGTCCTGATCAGGAGCGATTTGTCAGAGGAAGCGTCATCTCACTTAGGAAAAATGGGATGAGAAAGAAATTGTCACTACAAAAATAAATTACTTACACGCTCTAGCAGTTAGTGCTTCCATTTCACTATGATTGGCTGACTGACCATCTGCAGTTTGCAGTTGTGGTCTCTTTTGAAGTCATGCTTTTATGAGAAGGCTTTTAATATTTGGATTACTAGGTCCCAGTGGTTACAGTGGAATCAGAAACTTTCAAGAATCAATCAGAAGCTCTATGTAGCCAATGGGTATCTTTGAATGGTGCAAGGATGAAGGGCAAGTTGCTGGAGGAATAGTAAAGTTGATAGCTGAGGAAGGTGATCCACCAGCCAAACGAAACAGGCAGAAGAGGTTGACGGAATTGATTTGAGTTCTGCTAACAGTAATACAATACTACTTTTTTCAAATGAGAATATAAAGGTAAAAAAAATTTAAAGAGGTCTGTCAATTGCTTGTCAAATCTCAATGCCTCTGTACCTTTGTGGGCAGGATCTCTGGAAGTAGATAATGTTTCAGCTAAAAACATGAACTTTCCTTTGTTGTACACATAAAATAATGCTCAAATTATAGCCATGTCATGTACTGTAAACAGAGGAGCACAAGTTTTTCCAGCTGATAGGAGAACTGATTGGGAAATACATAGAAAATACAATTTCAAGGGTGCTTTCTCACTGGTCTAGGATTCATATTGTAATTGTGGTTTAATGGTAATGATGGTTTATGTATATTATGCCAATGTGCTGGAAAAAACTGGTCATTAAAGTTTTCTTTTACAATAAGTTGTGGACTTTTTTGTGACGTTTTATTTTTTAACTTCCTTCCAGTTTTTTTTTTTTTTTCATTTATTTGATAGATGTTTTGGAATAGAGGATAAATGTGTAATGGTGTCGATGTCAGCGTTTTTCTTTGAGTATGTAAGTCCCAGGTTCATATCTGCTCTAATAACAATGTTTGTTTTAATGAACCAAGCTAAATTGCAGCTATACATGAGTGGATTTATATTAGGGGATGCAACTGATGAACACAAAAGTGTGGCTGCAAGCTATTTCATAAAGTGGTGGGGACAATGTCCTCCCATTGCCATATTCTGTATGTCTGCTAGAAAAGGAGACAGACGGATAGATAGATAGATAGATAGATAGATAGATAGATAGATAGATAGATAGATAGATAGATAGACAGACAGACATATATCACAGACATTTAGTATATGATAAACAAAATGTGTCTTGCAGTCTGCTGCGTAGACAAAAGGCCTGTCCTGAAAAATGCCATGATATTGACAGATGGTATTTAAATTTTTTCTAGTCTTTTATGAAATATTCCTAGAGGCAGAGTCAGTGCATGCATAGGCATACATCTGTGTGTGTGTGTGTGTGTGTGTGTGTGTGTGTTTGTGTGTGTGTGTGTGCGCGCGTTTTTGTGACAAATGAGGACATAAATTTGTATAATGACAAAGGTATGACATAGGTATTACAAGGAGAAGGTGACTTTTCAGGACATTACCCCATGTCCCCACTTTTCAAAATGCTTATAAATCACACAGAATGAAGTGTATTGAAAATCTGAAATAGCACAAAGTTTCCTGTGAGGGGTAGGTTTAGGGGTAGGGTTGGTGTAGGGCAATAGAATATACGGTCTGTACAGTATAAAAATCATTATGCCTATGGGATGTCCCCACTTTTCACAAAAACAAACCTGTGTGTGTGTGTGTGTGTGTGTTGACAGCACTGCTTCTCAACAGCTTGGATTTACCTTGTTAATTCGATGTCATTTGTATATTCTCTCCCAATTCCTCCTCATCCTTTCCTTTTTCTCTCCCTCTCCGCCTGCACCCCTTCATCCCCACTGGCCCACGCTCTTATTTATAATTCTAATGTGCTTCATCTCGTTGTTTCACTCTAAACAATCCTGCTCTCCAATTCCCACCTAATGAATTATGCAACGCATTCTGGGCCACATCACAAATTGCTGGGCTTTTTGTTTTGCAATGAACTGCCACTAAACTTCCCTTTCTCTGTGCCTCTAATCGCCCTGCGATCTTTTCAATCAAATAAACCTTTACAACGGACACTGGTTTGGACTGCTCACTTGCTTTTCGCTTATATGTCAATGTTATTGTCGCATTCACCCCTGTTTATTTCCTGACCTGCACCAAAATAATCTGTTTATCTCATTTTTATTCTTGTAATCATCTTTTCTATTAACCCACCGCTATTGTGTTGTGACTAAACCACTTTTCATTATCTCACGTGACCTTCTGTGTGCGTAACCATCCTGCGTCCTGTGCTGGCTCCACACACCTGTATGTCTTTCCCTCTTCCTTACCGTTCCCTCTCCCCTCCATCTCATTGCAGATCAGTGTTGCGAGCCCCCTCCAACCGGACGTGGACACCCCCCTGTGCAGCCCATCCGTATGGTGAACATCTTCGGAGCTTCTCTGTCATTGTTGCTGTGCTTGTGTCTGTGTTGACATTGCTCCATCTTCACCTTGCCTGGAATGAGCCCAAAAGACTAAGACTTTTTTTTTGTTTTTTGTTTTTTTGCCCCTACCAATGGCTCGCCATGCTGGTTCATTGCCTGTTCTGGTGGTGTTGTTGTCCATGCTTGTGAGCCGATTTCTCCTGTTTCACTATCCTGGCTGCCCTCCGTGCCAAAACTGGCCTTTTTGTCCATAAAGGTCCTGCACATTATTGTCAACAAAGGAAGAGGAAAAATTGAGTGGCTAATTTGTTGTCTACCTGTAACAGTAGCGATCTGACCCTGGGTTTTATGTTTAATGAGCTTTTTGCTGGTGTTTACAAAGAACAGTATAAGCCACCAGCGTGAGGGCTTTTCCATCTTCTGTGCATCCACAGGCTCTTTTGTTTTGGTTTATTACGACTATGGGAAATGTCAGCAGTTGCATCGCTTGAGAGAATGCATTTAATGATGTTGCTGATACTCGCACACAGAGATACACAACGCAGCACTCATTAAATGGAGTCAAGTAGGATTTCAAATTGATATGACTTTTAAACACTGGTAACATAAATCAAACAGGCCGACTTTCTGTTTCTCATAATATGAGAAACATAAAACAAGGCTTCTCTCTCCCAGTGAGTCAAATATAATGTACATTTATTTTGATTCTCTGGGTACACCTTTGGCAGAGAGAGATGTTGCCATGCTACTTTATTTTATTTTCTCAATATTGATGAGGAAGAACTTGAGTAACTGAAATTGAGTGCAGTCTGTGAATACAAAAATTTGTATAGAATGTTGCTGCCATGAAGAAGTAATATGTGAATACAGTGAATTAAGCTAACAGTAATTGTTACATGTAATTGTACAGGACTAAATTCAGCTGAGGTCTACACTACGGTTCAAGAGTTTTAGGCCTTTAAGACATTTTATATAGGCTGCATTTATTTGATAAAAAATACAATTAATAAATGTATTCTATAAATATATTTTAAAATGTAATTTATTCCTGTGGTGGCAAAGCTGACATTTCAGCAGCCATTACTCCTTCAGAAAGGATTCTAATATTTCTTTGAAGATTCTTTGATGAATAGAATGGGTTTTTTTTATGCATTCATTTGAAATAAAACATTTTTGTAACAATGTAAAAGTTCACTTTAGCTGAATAAAAGTATTTATTTAAAAAAATTATATTGACCTTAAACCTTTGAATGGTAGTATATGTTAACCTTGTAAAATAGTGAGAATGGACATGCTTCACTTTTCTTGACTTTCTGGATGCAGTATTGCAATCTTGATTTGATGAAGTGGTGTGTTGTAGTTTGTTACGTGAAGCTTATTTATTTTCTGTTATCAGAAGAGTACATTTTAAGATCCATTAAATGTGAAGTGCATAGCTATAGATTGTGCTTTTATGATCCAGCATGTTTGAAGAATCGATTCAAATTCATGTCAAAAGCAGCATAGAAATCTGTCGGAATTTCTCAAATAAACTAGCCTTCTCTGATGCAATAACTACAGCCTCTTAATTCAGATTCCTAACAATCATGTCTTATCCTTGTACCAGTGAACCAGTTAGTGTAGAACATATAAAGCCGTGTGAGTTCATAGTTTGGTTTATTACAGGTAGTCAAATGCAAAAGCATTGAATTATCTGAATCCTTATCCTGCACATTATAGCTTGAAATATTGACTACTAAAGCAATCAAGGAAAGATAAACATATTGAATAAGTCTTTGTCAATGCTGAAGGGCTATTTAGCAGAATTACTAATGACAAGATTCCTTACTTTTAACTGAAGCGATGAAAACAGGAATTAGTGACTGATCTTAAGTTTGTAGAGTATAAGATTTCTAACTCTGATCCTCATCATCTCTGTCAGCTGTTTATTATTATTATTATTATTTTCCTTTTGGAAAAAAGGTATTGAGCTTCTAGGGAGAAAAAAGTAACAAACATTCCTTGGTGTAATGTGTTTAGTTGCAGTCGATCAATAAGTTTTGAAGTTCACACCACAGAATCACAATTAGGATTTCATTATATTTTTCGGTTGGACATTGTACATTTTTATCATTGTAAATTGTAAAAAAATGTGAGAGGTTTTGATACCCTCATGGCATACCTGACCTAATTAAGACAATCTCAAATCAGTGGAAGTCAAGTCAATAAAGACTATTAATCTTGATCATCTCTATGTGTTGCCCTCTCTATTCTCTCATTACACAGCAATAGATTATTGCATTTCATTTATGGGCATGTCAAAAACCTCTATATTGTTCTCGTTAAAAGAAAAGGTCTGAAACCAAGTCCATTAAAGCCCTTATTTCCTAACATGGCTTAACTTCCTATAAGATTAGAATGGCTCTTTGGTGATGGTTCCAGCTGGAAAAGATTACGGCAAATGAAAATGGACCTGTTGTTTTACTGCTGTACATAACAGCTGGTCACACTGGCCATAAATAAGCTTTTTTTTTTTTTGTGGCTTCAAGAAGAGAAATAAGCGAAGTCCATCCAGCTTGCCAGAGTTCAGCCATTTATTCTAAAGTCAAGTGTATGAAGTCAGAAGGTATCAGACCTTTACTTAAATAACACAAGCAACAGTGTGTCTCTAATATAGGGAAAGGAAAAACATTGCAGAGATTTAAAATATATATTTTTTAAAATGTTTTCATTAAAAAGAATCGTGTGTTTTGCAGAAGATACAAAGTCATACAGGTTTGGAACTGCATGAGGGTGAGAACGTGATGTCAGAATTTTCATTTTTGGGTGAACCTCCCCTTTAAAATGGAAGCTATTTATGATATTAATAATGTAAGTAAATGTGATTGTGCTGTCTGAGAATTGAGCTTATTGTATCAGAATTGTTATGTTAAAATAAAATTAAAGAAAGATGTTTATTGAAACATACAGAACAACAGTCAACAGCAAAATTATTTCAGATCCTCCATTTGAATGTGAAATTAATTTGGAATTATGTTGTGTTCGTATGTAACCAACTAATGAAATGGTTACTATAATGTTCATTTTTATAGATGCACTACAAGTGTCATAGAGAATTCTATTAAAACTATGGAAAAGTGATGTCTAATTGGTGCCACTTGACACCCATTTCATTGGTTCTGACCCATCAGTCCAACCTCATGCTGCGCAAAAACATCTTTGCCACTGAAAATGGCTATCCTGACGGCAGTCGGTCTATTAATCGTTTAACGGCTGGAGGGTCCCTTCTGCTCGTCAAGCATAGCGTCTTAATGAGCGTAAGAGTCTTTAAACCATCGTTATGGAGTCATGCTTGGCTTGTGTCCTCTGTGTAGGTAGTGCAGAGGTTGCTGGGCCAGCATAGGGTGAGGAGAGGAGGAGGGGGAGTCTTAAAACTCGAGACCTTTTCCATAATGGCCAAAGCTTTAAATTATCTCAGAACTCCAGAAGGAAGCCTTTCAGCCTGGAGATAAGAAAACTGTCCCATTTTATGAAGTGCTCTTTGGGTTTTATGGGTTGATTAGGAAAAAGGACCAAACTGTCACTGGTCAGCTCAATGTTTTCACTTAACACAACCCAGAAAGCTATAAAAGTGTCGTTTTAGGTGGGCTAGGTGCAGTTTGGCCGTTTAGTAGCTTGGTAACAAAAAAAACTGATGTTTTTTCATGGCATACATAAATACATTTGACGTATTGTACAAATATATCTAGAGGCCAATTTTGTGATATATATGTAGTATGTATGTATATGTACAGTATATATGTATATGTACAGTATATATATATGGATATGTATGTATGTATGTATGTATGTGTATGTATGCAGGCCATTTCAGTTTGATTACACTCGAGAAAATGTAATATAATCAGACTATAAGGGTAATGACTGCACTTTGAGAAAGAGGCATTACTTGTTCTTGTCATAGCACATCAGATGCATTTGCCAGAACATTTACTGGGATAGTCATGATGTAAGGGTGTAATTTCCATGGTATTTTACTATAATCTGAAACCCCCTCATAACAGATTTACTCTGGTTTAACTGAAGCCGATTTTTAAAACCCCTGCCTGTCTCCAGCTTACAGCATTTATTGGTGTTGTAAGTGCAGAGGTAATAGTTTGAATGATTAAATGGTGCAGCTCAAAGGCTGAGGGATATACAGTATTTCAACCTTGAAGAGAGTACATTAACGGGATCTCAAACTCTCCTGTTGCCTGTAATTCACACTGAAAGTTTTTCCATGTAAAACTGTTCCAAACTAGAAAACCCTGTTTAAGCCCTACTTAGTCATGTATCAGCGTGACACAACCATTAAGCCCCACACATGATTACAAGCTTCATTACCCTGTCAATCATCTGCTGGGATCCCACCCACAGACCTCCCTTCAGTCCAGACACAATCAATCGAGCTTGAGTTATTGCTTCTTGATGCTGAGTCTCAATCACCATTCGTACTTAATTAATTGAGTGCGTTGAACTCAGATGCGGATGGATCACGCCCATTTGTGGAACTTCAGGATAAGTGATATTAACGAGATCCTAAATTGAGCTTCTAATGATGTTATAAATCAACAACAAATCAGCTATAGGAGCGGGGACACATTTCTCAGGGCGAGCATGGCACAAGATGAAAAACAGATGTGTTGGCTGATAAGTCACAGTGGAGGTGGTCATGTGCTCCATGCATCAAAAGTAAGACCATACTAGGGTCAATAAATCTGAGGTCTTAGATCTGAGGCCACTCATACATGTATAAACCGATATGCTGTTGCATCATGGTCACATTTGTAAATGGTTAGTAGATCATGATGGTCAAATGATGTTCCTAATCTGAAGTTTAGAGGTCGTAATAATAGGTTTAAATAAGGACAATTAAAAACATTACAGCATGTTCATTTGGTAATGGTTTGTTGTTGATGTTGTTAAATTTAAATAAATGTCTTCACAAATGAAACGTAAATATATTCCTGGTTGAGGTGTTATTGAAGTATTAACAATATACTGTCATAGGTTTTCTGAATATTTGAAATTATTTATTTATTTTATATCTGTTTACACTTTAATTTCAAAGTTAAAGTTTTAGTTTAAAGTTGTTTTAGTTTATTTTTGTTGGCATTTGTATTTGTTTTTGTTTTTTATATATTTCAGTATATTTTTTAAATAATTTAAATTTATTAGTTTTAGTTATTTAGTGTTGTTATTTATAGTGTTATTTTACATTGTAAGTGTTAACCTGCAATTGATGCCTTAAATAACTATTTCTACCTGATTTAACACATAAAAAGTAGTTTTGTTGGCATAAATTAATGTACTTTGGAGCAATTTTGATTTTTTTTTTAATGTTTATTTCAAGAAACAATTTTAGTTTTAGTTGACCATAATAACCCTGTGGTGGATGTGATTTTTTTTATATATATATAATTTTGTAAATCCAACACTGAATTCCTCAAAGTTCTCTTCTGTTTATTATGCCTGTCTTTTTTCTCACTCTGATGCCCTGTCACTGTGTCCAGATCAAACTACAGACTTCTGGGATGCTTTTTCTGGAATGGCAATGCTACTTTCAACAGCATGTGTGATTGATGTGTTTAGAGCAGCAGCATTGCCCAGAATGTTCCTTAAAAATTGATGTTTTCTTCTGAATAGCTTCTCAGACTGCCTCATTTCCTCATGCAAAGTCTAGACAATTTCAGTTTAAAAATGTCACCAAAGTTGCATCACCTTCTCACCTCAAGTTCTTGATGCAAATTTAAACTACATGAGCTAGCTACATTTAGTGCATTGTTGGTAGAAAATTGTTATATTATGTTTTATGAATGCTTTAATTGACTCATTTACATGCTTTCCTAGTTTGAGCCATTTCAGTTATTTGATTTTTTTTTCTGAATTGTAAAAATAACCATGATTTTTGAAAATACTACTGATTCATTATATCTTTCAGTTTGCCCTAAATAAGTGTACAGTGTTGCGTTTTTGAGGCGTGTCATTGATGGTTATGTGTGCATCCTGTCTCAGCAGATTCGCTGTTCAGCGGCCTAGGCCTGGGTGCAGTGGTTGGGCTGGGCTTAGCTGGCCTGCTGCTGCTGCTCGTGCTAGTGGACATCAGCTGCTTCTTCCTGCGCCAGTGTGGCCTGCTCATGTGCATCACCCGCAAGCTCTGCAGCAAAAAGACCGCCACAAGCGGCAAGAGCAAAGATCTAGAGGAGGGCAAAGCTGCCTACCTGTGAGTATCCCTTCTGCATCAGTTATGCATTTATTTAGCATACGCTTTTATCCAAAGAGATTGAAAAATAAAAGTTCCGTAAGCAGAATACTTTTTCAAGCAACAAGATAAGTCTTATGTTACTTACTAAATTGTCATCTATTTTAATTAAATTAATTCATTTAATGACAAATTCAGTTTAATATTTCATTTAATGCATTAAAATCTTCAAAACACTAAATTGAGTGATGCCTCAGAGCAGTTGTGGATAAACTTTGCCTTAAAAAATGACAAAAATTGAATGTTCAATTACATGATGCACTGGCTTTAATTCCCATGTAAATATAAGTATTGAAATTCAATATTTATTTATTTATTTTAAAGCTGCATTTTCATTCAACACTGGAAAAAAAATTGGTGTAGAAATCATTTTCATTCAAAAATTGCTAGTAAATTTCACAAACAATTACAAGGAAACATCAAGTGACACCTTGAATTAAATGTAACATTTTGAAGTAGAAAAAATTAAATAGTATTTTCTTGTAAACCGTTCTCAAATGAGAGCCTCAGTCAGATATCGGTTAGAATAAATAACGTGTTACTTTTCACTGAAAGTAATAATGTAACATCATTAGTTTTTATGAGTACCACATTGTAATGCATTACTTTAGTAATGTTAAAGTAACATTACCTTACACTGAAAGTAACGTCACCTTGCACTGGCAATAACAATTTGTCATCAGTTGACAGCAAAACATCAGGCAATACAAAGTCCTCAAGTTTGTGGGAAAGAGGTAGGTGTGACAGAGCAACAGTTGTATAGTAGCAGTTAGTCAGAATTTATTTATGGAACATGTGCGTCAAAGAAGTATAGTGTACAGTCTTATCAGTTTGTTGACTATGAATCACTCATTGACTTGCAATCTGTGGTTTATTGCTTGATGAGTATAGTATGTGTTTTGGCCCTGGTCAGTGTCTTCACGGTTCCTGGCATATTTCCTCTGTAGACTTTGTCCTGAAGGTTTGCAGGATGGCTGACCTATGGTTACGCAGTGCCAGTCTGGGTCATTCCCAGCTGGAAAAACTCCTGTCAGGTTTACTTGTCCAGAAGTTCAAAGAGATAAAGGGCTGTGATTGTCTTCAGCTCCGATAACAAGCAGCACGGCTTTGATGTTCTAGCACAGTGTTTGTCAACCCTGGTCCTGAGCGCCCCCCAACACTGCTCATTTTGTATGTCTCCCTTATGCCGAGTTCACACTGCACGATTTTAGCCCGATTTTTCACTCACCGACAGGTTTTGCGAAATCGCCGACAAATGCCCGAAATCTGAGGCAAATCGGTGCTCGTTCACACGAGTGACAATCACGCAGTGTGAATTATCAAAGACGCGATCTGAGGCCGATGACCTACAGCCAATGAGAGACCAAGATACAGGGCAGCGGGAAGTTCGGGGAGGAGTTATAGACCAGAATATCAGTATTTTAATAGATATATGAACAATTATATCATACAGAAACAAGCACAAACATTTGCTTGACCAGCCACAACATCAGCATAACAGTTACTGCAAAATTATTTACCTCCAACTCTCTTTGCAGAACACCCAATCCCTGTTCCCTGCATCTCCCTAATGCATAATCTGTTTTTCTTTTTCTCCTTGTAGCTGGAAATCAGCTCACAGACATGTGACATATATATATTAATAATTACAGTCTTGCTCAAGAACTCCGGTCTGACGCACACAGGTTCTCGCGTTATTTCCTTATCACATCTCACGTGTGTTTTATTGTGAAACATAGTTTGCGGACCAGACAGAGCTGTCGTCGATTCTTCCTATTGTGAAGTCATGCAGTGTGAAACACCCTGGCGCCGATCCATCGTGCAATGTGAACACAACAGCAACTGAATGCTACCCCAGAAAACAACGGCGTTTGAAAATCATGCAGTGTGAACTCTGCATTATCTGACACACCCATTTCAGGTCCTGGAGTTTCTTCTAATGAGCTAATGAGTTGAATCAGGTGTGTTTGATTAGGGAGACACACAAAATGTGCAGTATTGGGGGGCGCCCAGGACCAGGGTTGAGAAACACTGTTCTAGCACATAGACTATGGCGTACATCTGATATGCGCTCTATACTTTCCCAAGTGCCCCAGCCTAGACTTTAATAATGCTATTAGAGTGATGATAATCCCAGTGAACAGAGGCTGGTTCCTTTCCAGTGTCATCCCATGTGATGAAGAGCCACACAGGGGTCTTTTAGATCATGCACAGAAGTGACTGAGCATCACACCGCTTACTATGTGGCCCAAGAGGATCACACAAGAAACAAACATACATTTGTAAACCTAGGGTGACACTGAAGTCAACTTAACATTTACTTTTTATTTCCATATTTTTTTTTCTTGAAAGAAATAAATACTTTTATTCATATTATCAATATTTCAGAATATTGCTGTTTTACTGTAATTTTTGATCAAATAAATGTAATCTTGGTGAACACAGTAGACTATTTTCAAAAAATTCTAAATATGTTTGTGTAGTTCAGTGCTTGGTATAAACCTGACCCCAAGCCACCTTTTAAAGCATGTCAACAGTACAAAAGGTTCATAAAACCAACCAAACAAACCAACTTGTGGTGACAAATGGACTCTGGTCTGCAAAAAGGACCCCAAGTCTCAACCCTGTCAAACTGACCAATGTGCACGTGCCATTTCTTCACTTTTTTTCCCACAGGAAATTGCCACTAAAAGAGGAAAACGGCAAGGAGACGCTGAAACCAGACACAATCGAGATCAAAGTTCACGGTGACAACAGCCTACACATGACACAGGAGGACAGTAAAGCGTAATGGAGGCCCTGCTATCCTCTAAAAGAACATACAAAGTGAGCCACCCGGAGACCAATAGCAAGCAAACTAATGAGAACACAAGCAAGAACACGCCAACCAATTGTAAGATCCTTTGTTAGAGACTCATCGCAGGGGTATCAGAAGAGGCTATGCGATAACTGCTTTGTGAAACATTTTTCGGAGGTTGCCACTCAACAGACAGGCTCCTGTTTATTTGTGCTTGTTCACGCTTGTTTTGGGCTTTTTGTTTTTCTGTTTTTTGGGGGGGGTTTTCAAGGCTTTGCTGTTGCTTTGAGTCTGATTCTTTGTTACTTGAACAGGTTGGGTTTACGCTGTAAGCTTCATGTTTTCTCTTGCTCTCTCTCATTCCTATTTTCTTTGGGATCCGGCTGTTGCACTTTTCCAGTGTGGTTGTGCAAACATCGCTTTTTAATGCGTCATATCACTCAACATTATACAGTACGCGTGGAAATCCCCCACCCTCTTTTTGCGGTCTGTGATGTAGTTTGGATTAACTGTTTGGGTAACGTGTTTATTTTTTTGCCTTTTTGCCTCTATATGTCTCGCCCAAATGCAAAGAAATTACTGAATGCTCAGTAGCAAAGCGAGGATCAACCACATTTGACCTCAAGCTACATGGTACATGGGTGGTCCCGGTATTGATCGCTGACACATGCCCAAATCTTCGGCTTGAACGATGAATTTTTCATAGATTACAAGTGCATTTGTGGATGAAAATATGTCCTTGTTTTCAATGCTATTGTTTCATCAGAATCAGAGGCGCAAAGTATGTGTCATACTTTCATATCAGGATGTTTCAAAAACAAAAAAAAGCATTTCCTTTAGAAACGTGTGAAAGTTTGTAAGTGAGTGCATCTGAGCATGGACGTGTTGTCTTTGGGGTGTTTGGATGTGTGTACTAGCGAGCATGGATTGTAGAAAGAGAGCGTGACGTAAAGAAAGTAGAGGTTGCCAAGTCTTACGTGAATATAAGGAAAACATAAATACCTATTCAAGTACACCAATGTAAATATAGTTGTTATTTCTTTGGAACGCTTCACAAATGGAAAAAATATGACTCATTCTGTCTTAGTGTGACACATACAGTGGGGCAAAAAAGTATTTAGTCAGCCACCAATTGTGCAAGTTCTCCCACTTAAAAAGATGAGAGAGGCCTGTAATTTTCATCATAGGTATACCTCAACTATGAGAGACAAAATGAGAAAAAAAATCCAGAAAATCACATTGTAGGATTTTTAAAGAATTAATTGATAAATTCCTCGGTGAATTATGTTGATCAAATTTGGCTATCTTTCAAAAAAGATATTCTGTGCAACTGACTGAAAGTTATCTAGAGCTAAAGAAGGGCAGATGCCCAGGAAGATGGGTTCAGATGCATCTCAAAGGGATAGCTATAAAATTAGCTGTTTTGGTGTTGCAATATTAAGGATGGGAATGGCATACTGCTTAGAGGCATGCTCATTTTACCTACCAGTCAGAGTTTGAGTATTAATTCCTGAGAACCATTATCATGTTCAACATGTTCACTTTGGTTTGGGCCAACACATTTTTCTAAAAAAAATTAAAACAAAACAACAAAACTACATTATTTCAGCATTGTATTTCACACCTGGCTCTCCACATTCAGCGCAATAGAACATTGTAGAATGTTGCCCATTTCTTTTCAGCAATCTAAAGGGAGCGCTCCATAAGCCCAACTGTACTTGTGGAATTCTTGTAATCCAGTGTAATTTTTCTTCTGTAAATAAAAGTGTCCCAATATAAAAGTGTAATCTATTTGGACTGCTTTTTAAAGCATAGTACACATTTGTGTTACAGATCACTTTTCATAGTCTATGGTAGTAACAAGAAAAGGCTGTGTTCCAAAACCTAGTGAAATGTGGGCTTCATTAGTGGCTGATCAGCAAAGATTGGCAGCAAAGGGTGGGCATTTTTTACAGGTGTTTTACCTGTATTTTGAATTATGCACTTCATTGCATTGTGTTTTAGAGTTAACAGAAATGTTCATTACAAAAATTCAATAAATAAATTATAAAAATTAATGCATAATGTCCTGGCAAAAAAAAATTACCAGTACTTTTTTTTCTTTTTTTTTAAACAGTGTTCATGGGAGAGCCAATCCCATGGTGCATTGTGACAAGCTCTGTCAAAAAAAAAAACTCTGAGGGGAAATGTTAACTGTAACTACTTATAGTAATTCATTCATTATCAAGAATATTGCTAAATAACAGTTACATTTATTCTAAAATAAAAATGCACAATATTTGTGTGTACAATGCAGTGCTATTTTAGTACTATTTATGTACTATTATATTTATTTTGAATTAGGCTTTATTTTTATATTTTCAGTTTATGATTTTAGCTGAAGTTTTAGTATTTTTTTTTTTTTTTTTGCTTTTGTCAGTTTTTATTATTTCATTATCTATCTAGTAATTTTAGTACTTCAACTTAAACATATTTATATTATTGGCCAAGGCAACATTTTTGATTTTCATTTTTCAAGTTTTTTATTCAAGCTTTATTTTAATTATCAAATTACCAAATTAGCATGCTTAGCAACATGGAAATCAAGTGTTGAATCTCCCATAAACTGTCTACAACTGTCCTATAAAGTGATGTTTGTATGACGCACTATATGAGTTGCTGTTGTGTAGAGCATCCATAAGTAATTTGTGACGGTCTGTTTCAGTTAGTATATTGCCTTTGTGGGCATTAGACAGCAAGAATGTTTACTAGGGTTTGGAACACATTGAATATGTGGTGTAAGGAATTAATGTAGTTAAGATGCAATGGTCCTTAAAGCTTCCTGTCCTTGGATCCGGTGACCTGTTGAAATCAAGAACCAGAATGGCTGACCACATTTGAAAGAAATCATCCACATTTCCTTCGGGGTTCCCGCTGTGTGCTGCACCTTGAAGTGTAAGTACTGGACAGCAAGTACAGACTCACCCGGGCATTAGTGGCCTTAGCTTTGGCTGTCCACTGAACACACATAGTCTGTAATCAGTGTGAACACTGTAGATAATGGCTGCCCAACTCAGAACAGTTTTGAGGGTGCAGACTGCACTTTCCATAATGATTCATTCAACCCTCTCCAGCGTTCCTAAATGGGTCTGATATGGTGAATGAGATAAAACGAAGTTCAGCCCAGAGCATCTTTAAATACAGCTGACTTTATGCAAGTGCATATGTGACATTTTTATGGTTAACCTGAGACAGTTTCATACCTTTTTTACTAGTCCCCAGGTTATGCTGGTCAATTCAAAATCTAGTTCAATTCACTACTTGCACAAACACCCCATTGGGAAATCTGGAAAGGTTACAGGTTCCACCGCAGTCAAGAAATGTGTTTGGCAAGATGCTACGCACATACAGTTAGCTAAGCGGGTAAGAGCTAACATTTTAGCGCCTGAAGATTCAGTCATATTTACTGTTGTTCTGTGAATTTTCATGAGCAGAATCCATCATTTCAGTAGGAATCCATATGATCGGGAATTTCATGTGAGTGGGTGGAGAAGTTGGAAAATTCCCAAGAGGTTCACGATGACTGAATGTGAACTCTGTGTGAGCTGTGCTTTATGAATCACTATATTTTTGACAACAGACAATGGGCATCAAAGGAGTCAAAAGTATATGGAGGTCGTCATTTGTGTGCGGGAATTTGTTAATGTCATGTGGGGAGTTTTAAAGGATATTTTTTGGCAAATGCTCAATTATAGAAAACTGTTGCAGTTTGTATATAGTATTTCCAGTGCTGTGAAAAAGTATTTGCACCCAGATTTTCTGTATTCTGATTTTTTTTTCCCTGTAAAGATATACCTTCAGGTTGCATAATTTACCTTGAATACCAAAGAAATGAAAGGTCCCCCAAACTTTTTACAACTACACTATACATCTAAAACCAATTACAATCCAAATCTGACCTCATAATTTTTTTTAAAAAATCATTAATTCAGGGGCCCTGTATGTTGTTAGGTGTTAGGAGGCTTATAATGACCTACAATTATTAAAAGGATATAATAGATTATACTTGTTCTCACTTACTTTGTTCTCTGGCCTATCAACTTAAAAGGTCTTACAGAAAAAAAAACACAATAATTTAAATAGTTTGGCTTTATATCTTTCAAAGTTTCAGACAGCAGTCAATGGACTAAAAATGGCATCAGTTGGAGAGCTTTAAAACCTTCTGTGGTCTCAAATGATCCTGTTGGTTTTTAAAGAGTGAATTAGGAAGCATTCCCCAGTTGTTCCGGTTAACTTCAAGACAATTGTCAGGATATCGCCCTCCTATTCCTTCCGCTCTCAGCAGCAGCCAGGGAATTAGAGCTAGATTACGATGTTTATTTGTATTGTGTTTCTCTTTAGCGGAAACTGTCGTTATTGCTTCTGTTGTTAATGTGTTTCAACCACAAACATGCCTTAAGGGAGTTCTCGATAACAGCCTGGACATAGCGCTGAGTAAATACCATACGGCTACAAACATTCGCTCTGCTTTTACTGCTGTTTTAAATGGGTTTCCTTTTGCTCTAATTACATTCTTTCCTAATGTAATTAGCTTAAAAAGAAACAAACGGATACCTATGCCTAATTACATTTATAATTGATTTTTACAGCCATTTAAGAAAATTGTAATTTTGAATAAATTGTTATTTTAAGCAACATTTTAGCATTTAAGTGACAAAGCAGGCCATAGAGCTACAGCACAATGATGACTTTGTAAAAAAAAAGCAAGCAGGTTGTTTGTCTGGTTTTTGCAGCACTATGACAAAATTACTTATTACTATAAGTGGGACCCAGTGTGAATGACTAAACATAATGACAGATGATAACAATAATGATAAAACTTTTAAGGGCTTTACTGGGTGGAAGCTACTACATCACCTATATTGCTAGTTTTATTATGTATTAGAGGTGATTCAAATATATGAATGATATGATTTCACAATAACCTTTCTTGACCCAGCATTTACTTAAGGTATTCCTCGCCTACTTACTATATAAATCATATTTATATGGCCAGATTTTATCCGTTTATGGTCACAGCGTTTGTTTGGTTTGAAATTGATCCATTTGGAAAGATTTATGGGGATATTCAACTTAATTTGTCACTAAGAATTGAAAGAGTAACTGATCTAAAAAACAAGCATGCATGATTTATTTTCCTCACAGTCTTTAAGAAACACCCACAAAGATAAGCCCGCATGCTCATATTAATAGAAACTTTTGACATAGAATGCCAGACTGGAGCGCCATGATCTGCGAACAAATCCCTGGCTAAGACTGAAGGCTGCAGAAAGCCTTCTGTAATCTGCACACAACCAGAATCATCCTGTGTCATCAGCCACCATTTTTGGGGCATCCCACCTAAGATAATAAAGTAAGGGCTTGCAGCTTCTCGAAGGATTGTGAGTTAGCAGCATTTTCCCATAAAAGCATGCATGAGTGCGCTACCTCAAGCAAACTTGCATGCACACACACTTGAATTTACTCTTAAAGCAGTGAACATGTGAAGCGTTACAGGAATCCTTGCAGACTTCAGTGAGCAAATCCTGCAGTAAGCCTGCTAGCAGGTGCTCCTCCTTCCTAATCTGCCCGCTCTCAGAATCTCCCATGATGCCATGGGTTGCTTGGTGCACCTCCTCACTTGCGATAAGGCAAGCCTGAGAGACATACTGAGATAAATGCTTAATAATTAAAGAGATGGAGGTGCGTGTCAAGGGCTCTGTGTGGTTAATGTGAGGATGAGCATCTCAGACACAGCCAAAACACAGACCTCTCAAACAGATGGGACAGGCTCCTCTCATTCTCTCTGTGTTCATCCATCTCTCTGTCTTTGTAGGTCTCTCACTTTAACCTTCTGATCATCATTCAAACTAATTTTGATACAATGTTACTTTTTTCAGGATTCTGTGATGAACAGAAAGTGCAAAAGAGCAGCATTTTTTGAAATAGGAATCTTTTTATAGCATTATGAATGTCTTTACTGTCACTTTAATGTACCCATGCTGAGTAAAAGGATTAATTTCTTTAAAAAAATGTATTAGAAAATTATTCAAAGAA